AAAAAATAGGGAGGCAACACAACAAGTACCCTTTCTACCAATTGAGATGCAACGTTTCACACTACTGTTTGGATCTGTTGAACAATGAGTTGGAAAGGACACAGCAACTCAGAGATGATATGTTTTGGGAATACAATCACTACCTGAAGCAAACTCATTCGATCCCTTGTGCATGTATTCTGAAGCAGGTAATGGGGGAGAATGAGATTTTGACTCCAAAATACTTACACCAATTTTGGAGCACACTCAACATCAGTCAGGTTGCAGAGAAGGATAGTTCGGATGATGTCCCCCTCACAGATTGTTGTTCAGGCAGTTAGTGGAAAAATTGGACGCTGCTGAGGAGCCAATACAACGGGGGATCACTAGATTGATGTACAACAAAATTCACCCGGGCCAAGCCGGATCGAAACAACCTCGGGTTAGAAAGAGAGGCAAGGGCAAAATAATCATGTTTTGTGCAGACAGATAGTGTTCGATGAGGTTATATATAATCCTGAGCTTTACGAGAACTTTTACGGGTATGACAAGTTTTATTTTGAGGTTCTATTTAATACACTTGCATCAATGTGATTCTATTTAAAACTTTCCTTTACTCGTCTTTGTAGATGGGATAAATTACCTGAAAGCCTAGAGCATATACGGTGAACTGGTATAACCGAAGGTCACTGGATGTCGACAGAGGACTTTTATCCCATGTTGGACTGTGCTACCACTCATCGCACGGGGCGGGGCAACAAAACCAGAGTTCCAGATCGTTATTTGCCACCTTGAGCCCTACCAGCACTTCATTCGACTCAATCTGCAGGGTGATTACCAATTTCACCTATTCACCCCTTTTGGCATTACGACCGTGATAGTAGTGTTATTGGTTGAGAAGTACCTCTTCAACCCAGAATGCAACTATGGCGTACTTTGGTCCCATCGGATCTCTCGAGAAGATCCAGACGCTTATTTGTTGATTTCGGGTGATATGTTGTTTTATATTTGTTTATGCAAATATGAAATATTTTATATGTTCTTTCCATGTCTTTTCATTCCTTTTTAAAGGAAATGAAATTGAAAATCAAAATAAGTCCAAAATGTCTATAACAACGAAATCGTAACATACTCCAAATCAGCACAATACATGCAATTGATTAAAAAAAAAACAAGAATCAATGATTTTTCAATAACCAAATTCTAACCAAATGAGTCGAATGTCATGGGGCTTGACTGTGACGGAAGATGACATCATCAAGGTGAATATCCCACTGCAAACCAAGATCCAGATCGAGTTTCTTCAAATCTTCGATGCAAACTCGATTCCACCTCTCCATCTCACACATCCACTACAAATATTAAATAAAACCATATTAAACCCTTCAAGATAATACATGTGTTCTTAGAATAAAATTTCGTTGGATGTTGAACTTACGTAAGTGGTGCAGTTCTTAGCTGGTATGCGTGACGTAGACGGGACGGACGTCGGCAGTATGAATGGATGTGAATGACTCCTGTACCAGTCGAGGTATTCTACAGCTGGTTGTCCTACCTCCGTAGACGATACCGGCATACAATGACTGAGGCTAATGCACCCCGATTCCAGAAATCTAACCCAACAGTTATTGGTCTCGGCACTCAGACGATCAATAAAATACTTGTGCGCATTTTTCCCTCGAAACTGAGTGACTGGCGTGAGAGGCGCACGAGGTATATACTGCACGTAACCGAGCTGCGTAGCACTCTCTCTGGCATGTATGGTTCCTGGAAGTCACGGTACATAATCCACCCACTGAAGATGGTCCTTGCATGTGCGGCCGCCTGTTCGCCACCGAATGGGTCCCCAACCTGCGAATTTTACCAAAATTTATTATATAGTATAATAAAATACCCCTTACGCAATACAAAGAAATAAAATATAACCATTACCTCTTGCTCAGTCATCGTATCGAGTTGCGCACGAATCTGCTGGAGTCGACTCTGAATAGGCTTCGGGCCCTTATAGTTAACTGGTGTCCAGTCTCGGGCTCTGGACCAACCATCAACACCTTGACATCCCCGCCTCTTCGAGGACTGGAAGCATAGAAAATACTCATATATCCATGCCTGGAGAAGGGTCATACAACCAGTCATCGTAGTACACTCTTCTCGACTAGCAATCCTAAGCTGACGGTAGAGGAATGCTAGTATATCAGTTCCCCAGGAGTAAGTTTCAATATTTTCGACACCTCCGTGGAGCTCGTTCATAAGCGAAGCACTAATCCTGCCCCTACTCCTGTCGAGGAAGAGTGTCGAGGCTAACAAGATCCACATCCAAGCTTGAACCTGAACAGCGGGGAGGACCTTGCGACAACTTTCCTCGATCAATATGTCGCTCACACCTCCGTGGCTCCATGCACGCTTTAAGTCAGCCACCGGCAACCCAAGCAATCCCGTGACTTGCATCTTCAACATTTCCACTTCTGGAGGTTCGGTCAACAAGTAACCCTCAATTGGAATCGCCAAATTGTGTGCTACATCGGGCATCATGATGGTCATTTCCCCAAACGGCAAGTGAAAAGAGTTTGTGTCGGGCTGCCACCTCTCTATGAATACAGAAATAAGCGCAAGGTCAATGTCATCATACATGGTATCAATCGGATGATATAAACCGGTAGTTTGAATCTTCAACTACGCGTTCTCCGGCAACCTCATATGTCATCCATGCAATCTAGACAAACTCTTCTTCGCTGGTTACTTCATTAGATAATCTCTTGGTTATCCATTCCACAACTGATAAGCAGTGTGACCAAGAAAACTAGGAATCACTGACCCATCACATGGCCCGCCAGGTATGTCATCCGTCACAACCCAATCATCAATTTCTTCGTTAGAAACCTTAGACCGTCTACTAGTACCTGAAACAGAATAAAGAATAGTTGGTTAATACTTAACGGAATGCAATAAAGAAATTGACGTTGCAGTAATGAATGCTTAAATAATTACAAATACGTACCTGATAACGTTGCAGCTGCCTCAGGACGGCTAGAGGGACCAATAGAGGCAGCACCAAAATGGGAACGAGGCTGATTAGTCTGAGGGGGTGCGACGAAGTCCTGCCAGAACGATGTTAGGGGCCGACATCGTGAAGAGTACTACTAGGACCTTCAAACAAAATGCCCTGGGGGCCGGTATCATGAAAAGTAGTACTAGGACTTCTAGAAAGAGCACTCTGTGGGCCGGTATGATGAAGAGTAGTACTAGGACCTCTAAAAAGAGTACTCTGTGGGCCAACACGAATATTGGAACCACCGGGAGTGTAAGCTGAATTCAACCCTGATAATCCAACAAGGGTTTTCCCCCTCCCCTCCCTCCCCCCGGGTAGGGTGAACTGGAGTCTGATCATCAGTATGACCATTGGGGTTCAGTATTGGGTTACCTCCAAAATGTATATCCCTCCTCTCAGGCGAGGAATACTCGTCTGACTCATCCTCCTTATCCACATCGTTCCTCCCACTCTCAAAACTATCCTCATCTTATTCTTCCTCTCCCTCAAACTCATCATCATCATCTACGTTCGCCAGCTCACCAGGTGGGGCAAAGGTAAGATGTACATTTTTCTGTTTCTTTAAGTTTTTCTCTTTTTCTATACGATGTTCAACATATAGATTGCACGTAACTGCATGGCGATTACCAGATCCCTCAAGAGGCGATATCCCATCCTACAAAAGTTTTACGTTTTACACGTAACCTTAATTAATCCTGAATACGTCCCAAAATATTTAGTTTTAATACATACTTAATAAAAACCTAAATAATAAATTATTAATTTAGGTTAATTACTTTAATACATTTTTATATTATTTAAATACCTAATTATAAAATTATCTACTATACATCTTAAATATTTAATTTATTAAATCTACTAAGTACAAATAATAATATTTCCAAATATACTTCAATTAATTAAATTATCTACATATTTTATTATTTAATTTTAACCAAAATATAATTAATAAAACTCTAATTATCTACTAACCTCTTTTTTGTATTTACTTAATACTTATTTATTTAATTTTTCTCTCCTAAATATTTAATGTCTAAGTATCAGATTTTTTTGAGGTAAATTACAATTAAACCGACTAATTCTATAAAAATTATTTCTATATTTAAATTAATTATAATAACTTCATAATTCCCCAAATTAATTTAAAAAAATTGAAACCCTAAAACTACTAATGAATTCCTAAATATGAATATTATTAATAAATTATTTACTTAAGATTAAACATATTAATTAATAAAAATATTTCCTAAATAAATTAAACTAATAAAAAAAAATTCATAAGATTATACTATAAAATTATAAATTAAACTAATAATAAATAATTAAACTAAAATTCATAAGATTTGCAATTACTAATAAGAAAAATTAAATTAAAATTACTAATATTTATTCTGCATTTCATAAATAACAATTAAATTAAATTAAATAAATTACAAATAAATAAAATTTAATACTAAAAAAAAAATAAACATACCGGCACCGGAAGGTGGTGAAGAAATGGGCGCCACCCTTGCCCCAGCCGCCGATGGAGGACCTCGCCGGAACAAGTAGAGCTGGCGCGGAGATCAGCTCTAGTTGTCCCGGCGAAGTCCTCCATCGGCAGCAGGGGCAGTGTATTTTTTTTAAAAAAGAAATAAACCCTCTAATTTGACCGCGCCAGCTCTACTTGTCCCGGGGAGGTCCTCCATCGGCGGCTGGGGCAGTGTATTTTTTTTAAAAGAAATAAACCCTCTAATTTGAACGTATCTTGAGTTTTTGTGCTTCTTTCTATAATCGTTTCATTCGTTCTGTCATTGAATCTGAATTTTTTAGATTTAGGAATAAGAGAATTTGAAATGAAAGATTGATTTAGAAATTGAAAGAATGAAATTTAAACTAATAATTTATAAAATCTAATAAGGATAAAATAAATTTTTAATATTAAATTAGGGTGCTCAAAAGAAAAAAATAAGGGTTCAGTAACCGCAGGTGGCGTCCCCTTTTTTTTTCCACACTTTCACAATAGTCGTTGTTCCTCACTGGGACCCACATTTTTCACACACTCACGCACTAGCTAACCGAATTTCCCTTCCCTCTCTTCCACCTTCTGGAGACATCTAGAGTAGAGTACATCTGACACGTCACATTCCCGAAACCCCCAAATAATCCCCCGCCCTTTTTAATCTTCCCTCTCCATCCACCAGAAATTTCCACTCCAACAGTTTCTTAATTCCAATCTTTCATCCTTCGTCTGATCGATTTTCAGTTCTTCCTTGTAGATTTTGAGCTTTTCTTTCGAATTGTCGCAATTCTTTCTCTGTTGAAATTGTTTAGAGAATGCGTAATCTAGGCTATGGTGTTGGTGGTGATGATAGTTCGACGACGAAGTTGAAGAGGAAGGATTTCGATCTCGATGACGTTAGCTACGATCTGACGGACTTCTCTGCTTCTCCGGCTCGGAAAATTCGCCGACTGGTATTTTTTAACTCTTCTTTCGTGCCTCGTTTCGGGATTTTGATACTTGAATGTCATGATTAATTTTTTAACAAATTAGGGTTCAATCCCTGTTAATTACTGAAATGCACTCTGTATATTCGGAGGTATCTGTAATTAGTGAGTCATAGAGTTTTTTGTGCAGATTTTCCTAATTTCTTTTCTTGATGTTTAATCAAAATCTGTTGTTCCTTTTTATAAATTATCCGGTTGGAATATCAAATTATGAGGCAGATTTTCCACAGTTTGTTAATTTAAATCTATAATTTTGACTGTTATATATTTTTTTCCGTTAATGGAACCAAAATGTGGACTTATCTATTAAATAGTTGGAGTCTGTAAGTTGATGAAGTTCATGCGAATACTGATTCATGTTCGTTTTATGTTTACAAATAGGATGCGGAACTAGCTCCTATAATAGAGGAAGAATCAGAAATTCCTGCAGTGTTTCAGCTATCACAACCTGAAGCTAATGTATGTGGTAATGATAGAAGAGGGGTGGTGATCGAGGAATTGCCAGATCAATTTGAGAATGAGGAGAGAGCAATTGTGCTCTTTAATCCCTCAAACACGCCCCTGTTGCATTCCCCCACAAATTTCTCAGTTTTGGTCAACCCCAACTTCATTCCGAAATTCAAGGGTGAGTATTCTCACCTTTTGGCTTTTTCTTATGAATCTTTTTCCTATTATGAAGATTTTGGTAGTATCAATGCTAAAGGAAGTTAATCAATTTGTTTGGTTTACACTGGTTCACTACTTTGGGTAGAGAGAGGTTGTATGTGGCCATTTCTGGGGAACAAAAGAGACAAAAGTAGGATGAGGGGGTATTGGTATTCTTTTCTGCACAGATTGGAGGGTAGTTATAGCTCTAAAAGACAATGTTAAGATTGAAGCTTCTTTGAAATTTGACCCGTCCATGTATGATCTTGTTGAACCGGTGCTTTTCATCTTGTTTGCTGAATTGAAAAAGGGAATCGGTATTATTTTTCCTATATTCTTTCTGGTTTAGCAATTCAAATGTTATCTGCCAAAATAGCTTTGTTTTGAGTGTAAACATTCGATAGTGCAGCATCATATTTTTTGGGGCTAAATGAGTGCCAGTAAGATGTATTATGGACCTGGGGGGAATAGCTTTCACTGTTGTATCAGGTTGATGGATTATGGAATGCCAGGTCAGGCCATGGGATTCTGTGTGGACCTGGGGGATGTTTGATTTTCTTGACTTGTGACTGCCTGGTTTTGATTTATTTGCCTAGAAAGAAGAACATATATTTTGGGATGCGATGTTTGCTTCCGTTTTTCCTTTCTTTGGTTCAACTTTTGCATAGGTTAACAGTTACTTTTGCTCTTATGTAGGCATAGTGTGGCCAAATCAGTCGAATCAATGGGCTGCCTCAAGTAATGAAGAAATGGAACAGGAGATAAACTCTGGTCAGGCAAATGAATGTTTAGCTGTTGTACCCTGGGTGCCTTCTCAGCTGCCATCAGCTGAAGCAAGTGCAAATGCTCCTTTGATGGATTCTTCTGATGATATGATGGAAGCTGAAGAAACTGATGTAGCAACAATGGAAGTTGAAGATGATAATGTCGAACTCCACCAGCCAATTGGGATGAATGTGAACAACGGTTTACACCAGTGGCAGCAGCAGCATTGCTTGATTCCACAGCCGCCCCAGAACACCTCCACACCGATTGTGTGGTTTCGATGATTAAGTAAAGATTAGATGGTGGCCTTTGTAATTAGTGGCAGCTGTACTTTTGTAGACAACTTCTGCCTTCCCGGCTGCCTTGTTAACTGATTAGTGGTTGCTAGTCCTCGTGCGCTTCCTGCCTCAATATCGAAAAGAAATTTTGATCGGTTGCTTGCTGTAGGCAGTGGCTTTGTTGCAGGAATCCTCTGCTTGGGAAAATATATGCACGCAGGGGCTCCGGAGAGTAGTTCAAAAATTACAGTGTATGACTTCTATTAGGCATATCTTCTATCATTTTAATGTTTTTTTTTTCTCACTGTTAAACTCGGTGCGTGCGTTGGTGCTCCTTTTACATTTTCCACTCTCGTCAACACTTGAAAATATCTTGGTCTGTTCAAGAGAACACAAATGAGTATAAAAGGCGTGGTTCACAACCTCAAATGTATGAGGAATGGCAGCTAAAACTGAAGACAGTAGTACTAAGAAGATTAAATAATTCTTGTTATCGAGCCGTGTAAGGGCCATGAAGACAAATTAAGCAGCTCTATTTTTTTATTAAAAAAAATCACTGTCTGTTCTACCCCCTAATAACCACCGCCCATGGGATTCGATCATGGTCATGGATCAAGCAGGAGGTCCAAGAATTGGAACCGAATGGTTAATTCTAATTTTACTGTTTGGTTAGATAAAAGTTAAAAAAATGGAATTGAAATCAGAATAGAATCGTACTATACGAATCACAATCATTTGAGTTTCACCGGTCAAAGGACGGTTTCAATATTTCCTTAAAAGACGAGGGTGAATTTGATAATCGGATAAATCTCGGGGCATTTTTGATATTAGCCCATTCTTATATCACTCAAAGTGAACTTATAATTCGAAAAATCAAATACTTCATACAATTCTCAATAAATTGTTGATTTTTATTTTTTTGGCATATTTACAGGTGTTCACCGTTAGAAACAATGGCTAATCCTCCTCGTTGAATTGTAGGCACCTCACTGGGTAAGATAGTTGGCCAAAGTATTTAAAGTTGCTCCATGCCCATAGCGAGGTTCGAACCCTCGACTTATGGTTAAGGGTGGAAAAGTCCCTTCCACTCCACCATAACCACTTTGGTTGATTGATCTTTTAATGGCTTCACAACTTGCATGAAACAATATCTATTTTTTCTTTTTTTTTTTTTTTTGAAAACCAAATGGAATCTATATACTATACTAAGGCAAAAACCTGAGAGAGGAATCTAAAGTCAAGGAGCACATGTCACATAGGATTTTATCCTATGTGGCATTTTCTTAATTTTTTAGATATAAAAATACACAAAATAAAACAATTAAAAAAAAAAAAAAAAAAAAAACGCATCTGAAAAAATCCAAACTATATATTGATTCGACCAAATCCCTGCAAATCCGATTGATGGATCTCTTCCTCCTAAAAAAACGCAACTGAAAAAGAATTTTATATTAATAATTTATTAAAATAATTAAAGAAGTTAGGCCAACCTGCAACTTTTATAATTTAGCTTCAAATATGGAATTGAGTTAAAATACTATGGTGATGGGTTGATGTAGCGGGGCTAAGAATGGCTCTGACAAAGAATAAAAATATTAAAAGGCTTCAATTATGGCTATTCTTTCTTCTTCTTTTTTAGCGTTTTGAAATCCAAATTTTTAGTTTATCTTTCTTGAACCTAAATGGCAAAATGTACATACATTAGAAATAAATATACTAATTTATACATGAATCAACTACTACTCGCTAAGTAAGGAGGTCTTAACACTCGGGATCTCACCAAAATGGTCTGAAGATGGATAGGAAGCAAAATAGCTGAAAAGCTGTTTGTTTTGTCATGTAGAAATGGAATCAAGAAACGGCTTTGAATACTAACAAAATGGTTCTTCTTGAATGTTGATGAAATCAAGATTCAAACGATGCTATTTGTTTTGAAATCTAGAATAGTTTGATTATTATCTCTATTTAATTAATCTTGGTCATGAATTTCAAGTTTAGGTTGTTCTCATCATTCCATTGAAAATTTGCATAGATTTCTGATGCACACTACATTCTAACAATAGTATAGTGACTGTTGAATTGGTTATCTACTTAATTTTTTTTTTATTCCAATTTCTGTTTCCTAAAAAACATTTGTGCTTTTTAATAAGATAAATTTATTTGTCTAATCGTGCGTGACTGCTAAATATTTCGTGTTTTTAACAAATATAAAGGGGTCTATGCGGCTAAATATTAGGCTCTTAATTTTTGGTTCCTTTTTTTTTCCTGAAAAGAAGTCTATATATATATATATATATATATATATATATATTATAGTAAAGCAAACTCCAGAGAGAGAAAATCTAAGGTATCGTATCATGCCACATATACTAAATCTTATGTGGCAAATTTATGATTTTTTGAACCAAATTTTAAAATTGTTTTCTTAAAAGATCTAACTTTAATTCAAAAAAAAAATGAGCAGGATGGATTTGACATTTGCGAAAGTGTCTAGAAAGATATTAATGAAGAAAAAAAAATAGGTAAATGATATTCTTTAAGGGTAAAAAAATAGTCACACCCTCACATTTTAAATAAAATATTTCTGACAACGGGTAAGTTAATTAAAGATAAATTATTAAATAGGTAATGAGAAATAACTAAATCAAACGAACAAATGAGGTTAAAAAATAAAATATAAAGGAAAGTGAGAATGCATCATTTTTAAAAAAGAAAATAATAAAATAAAAACACTGAAAACAAAAGTCACTCCAAGACAAGGAATAAAGGTCCTGATATCCAACCTTTTTTTTTTAAATTTTTCTTATTAAAAAATTGGATGGTCTCTATAACAGGTTAGGGTTGTTGTTTCTGTAGTAACCATTCCTTATCATAAACCTTTTCAAAAAAAAAAAAAAAAATCCTTATCATAATTTCTTAACCACCTTAGCCAACATTTCCACCCCAGACTACCAATATAGTCTACCAAGAAATATTGCAAGATATATAATTATTTAATTGAAAGTTTATTTTTTTTTTAATTTCTTAACAATCTTTTTTGTGTTAAATAAGTTACCAGTGTATTCGTTTGGTAAAGTGTTGTCGATGTTTGTGTTTTATATTTTTCAATGAATTCATTTATATTTTATAAAAATACAAAAATCTATACTAATATTAACATTTTTTTTTGATTTGTTTGTATAGTAATGTCTATGTATATGTGCTCCCTGTCCATCGGACGGGTCTAACACCTAGTATCTCTTTTAAGAATGTTAATAAATTTCAAAATCCATTTCATTGTCTAATAGCAACAACTGAGATCGTTGATAGGTAAAATGCTTTTTATTGAGTTTTTTCCCCTCCCTTTTGGAGGTCAAGAATATAATTCTCAGGGTGGAATGAAAATAAATAAATAATAATAATTAGAGAACACTTTTTCAGTGAGTGTATCCAAATTAAGTCGGGTGCTTTTTCCAAAAAATGCTCTTGGACTCAGAGTAGACAGATCTAGGTTTTGTTGTTTCAGGTGGACAATTTATAGACATATCGAATTTTCAAAAATCGCCATTTTCTAATTTAATTAGTGAATCAGATTTTCGAAATCCGACTTTTATTTATTAATATAATATTAATTTTTCGTTATTTTGGAAAAGGAAAAGAAGGAGGGAAGAAAATAATGGGAAAAAATTAAAATCGAATTTTAAGAATCCGACTTTATAAAATTAAATTCAAAAAAGAAAAAAAATAAATTTATTTTTGCCAGAAAAATTTAAATTGAAGTAGGAAATAGAAATCGGAATCCTTTTTCTTTTTTTTTTTTCATTCTTAAAGTGCTTTAAATGATTCCTCCATCACCAACAAAGCTCAATGCAATACACGTCATGACTTGATTTTCATTCTAGCTGCTTAGTTTAATGTGGATATGGGATTCAAAATATGATAAAATGGACAATCTTAAATGCTTAGTTGGGAGTTGAAACTACTATTACTACAAACTTATGAATGTTAGGTGCATAAGTTAGATGATACTCCAAAGTTGTGAATTTTATTGTGATTGTTAAGTTAATGTATACTGTATAATTTTTTATCCTACTGTCGTGCAGACATTCGTTAACATTTTTTGAGAATTAGATTGGTTCATCAAATAATTTTTCATAACACTTTGACTCGTTTTTTTCCTTTTTAATCCTTCTTATTTTTATTTATTTTTTTTTATAAAAGTAGAATAAGTCAGAATGTTAGCATGTATCGTTATTTTTTGAGTTTGGCCATTATTATTTTGTTTCACATATTTCCTTAATATATATGAAAATCACTTGAAGTATCTATTTATGTTAATTGACAACTCATTCAAATTTCACAAAAAAAAAAAAAAAAAAATTAGTTGGAGGACAACTAATATTCCTACTTAATGGACAGGGTTCAACAACGTGACATTGAGTATAAATTATAGAAAGACCTTCTCATAAATCATCCTCATAAATTCATAATTCATACTACTAATGGTTCATTTTTGTTATTGCTCAATAAAGTGGATTATTTATTACTCATCATGTCATAAAATAAAGTCTACTTTATTATATTGTTTAAGTTTAAAAAATAAATTATATTTTTTTGAGATGAAAAGAGTAATAAATTATTATTTAAAGTCAATATAAAATGTAATGCAATTTAGCTGGCCTATTTCCGAAATCCGATTTATTGCGAAATTATTGTTAAGAAATGATTAATTTTTAATAAAATAAAAATCAGAATCTAGGAATCCGTTTTACCTTAAAATCGGATTTTTGAAATCCAATATACCTATTTTTGGCCTCTCCATTCTTTTATGCCTAGTTGTGTCTTCTCCGGTTTTGGGGAACATTTTTTTTGGGGAAAAACTCATCCAAAGTCCGTACACAAAACTGCATTCCGCACTTGACATTTGTGGCCGTCAACCCAAAAGAAATCCACAAAATATAAACGAAATATTCAGTATCAAAGAGATCTATGAGTTTATACACTAACAAATATCCCAACTATGTATATAGGACGATATAGTGTCCAAGGCATTCTTTTTGTAAAATGACAATGATAATAACATAAACCGTTATTATTATTACTAATATTCTGGTTTTCAAGGCTAGTATTAAATTACAAGCGAGTGAGTGACATATATATCATAAAGAAATAACTCTGATTTTACTATTTCGTCCCAAAAGACGGTTATAGTAGGTGGATTAGAAATCAAACTAGCATCATATTCTTAAACTCTTCAAAGTCAAGTTTGCCATCACAATTAGTGTCATAAACATTAATCACACTCGTGCAATAATCCTTGCCACAAGATCTTTCGTCCAACAATCCCAATCTGCACAAAGCATTCTTCAACTCTTCACTACTGATGAATCCATCGCCATTTGAATCAAAAACCTCAAAAGCCTTACGAAGATCCTTCTCCTTCAACTCACCTTCTTCTTCTTCTTCAACTCTTATTTCTTGATTAATGTTGTTGTTGTTGCTCCCCTTGATGATATGATCATAAAATAACATAAAATCAACAGGGTCAAGATGGGTTTTGCCCACCAGCAACTTGAGCTCCTCGAGACTAGTTTGGACCCCGATCGAATGAAGCAACCACATTAGTTCTTCAAGGCTCACTAGTCCATCTCCATTCTTGTCGAGTCTCTCGAAAATTCGATACAAATCGATAGTTCTAACTGAAGACATGATGATATACTAAGGGATTCTTTCCTTCACGAACTAAAAGGAAATCAGGAAGGAAAAAGAGCAAGAACGAGAAGATCAAATCAACCCTTACCAGGGAACTAAAAACTTTTATGTGATGGATGGAAAAATGTGCACAAAAACTTTTCTTCCTATGTTGAGTGTTGAGATTGAGGATGAATTTATAGTTGTACCTTTGTACGGTATAAGCATGATTCAGTTCGTGGAAATGAAGGTTTTAAAGTTTAAGAAAGACTTAAAAGACAGTTTGTGGCTGAAATGTTGAAGAGGGAAATTTACATGAAGTTTCGTTTGCAATAGTGACAAATTGATCTTTTGTTTCCGTATTGTAGACTACAATTTTCAAACCACAATGAAAACAACAAATTGGAGATTTTATTTATTTATTTATTTTTTGGGTATTACTATCATTGTATGTGGTAGTTTTTAGTTTGTTCTTACATGGAATACATCAGAATCATTTACGGCTTTTCAAAGAGGTGACCTTATTTGTGGTATATAAATTTTGAGGAAACTTCGATTGTCCTATCTATGATCTACCAAGTTTTGTAAGGAAATGTTTAAATTCGTGAAAAATAATACCGACAGAGTAAATTAGACTCCTTCAATGACAGATTTACAATTCTGAGTTTATTACGTTTTTCCAGTTCAACAAATTTGCAATAATTATGAAACTCTATGGGATATCAGATTTCAGATTATCATGAACAGAATCAAACTAATACGCAGTACTTTTTTCACTGGTAAAAATGGGTAATCGTTTTTTCAGGAGTCATTGTATTGTTTTGCATTGTTTCACATTCATCGCCTTAACCTTCTGCTAATCAAAAACTGAGGTTATTAGATACCTAAAATTTCAAAGTTAGCACATTTCCGTGTAGCAAAGTTATTGGTCATTTCTCCATAAAGACATGAGAGAGCTGAGAAAGCAGTGAACCAATAGCATTTCCATTACCTGCTTTATTTGACATTTTCGCTTCATTTGCCTCCAATAGTGCCTCAGGGTCTCGCCAAAATTTAATTATATGGAGACTTTCTTCTTCTGTTGACCTTTGCAAAACAATTCGAGATTCGTAACCTTTCTTCTTCATTTCTATGCATAAACCAGAAGGGTTGTTTGCTGTGAGTGTGACGATGTATAACCATCCCTTGTCAGAGAGAAGTTTGTCTGCTACAGGTAATATCTTATCAATCACAGTTCTTCCGTTTTCTCCACCAGCCCAAGCAGAGGTAATCCCCTCACAACCAACTTCTTCTTCGGGTGTTGGGACATAAGGCGGGTTTACAACCATCACATCCACCAATCCTGCCAACCGAGCCTCTAGTCCTGAGGCGATGTTGGTGTTTATCAACTCTGCGTGAACACCATGTGCTTTGAGAGTTTCGCTAGTCACTTTCAGTGCATGAGGATTTATATCTGTTGCAAGGAAGTATGGCCGCCATGCTTCCCCTCCGAGCAGAAGGGCAAGTGAGGCAATAACGTATCCACTGCCAGAACCAATCTCCAAGCAGATATTGGGACGATGCCCGATCAAGTTTTTACAGTCAGCTTGGAGTGCATCAACCAATGCAAATGAGTCATCACACGGTTCATAGACTTCTGGATGTGAACTTATTAAACGTATTTGGGCAATTTTGTGAGGCATGATCCAAAAATTCTGCAAACAACTGTATAAGGGATGTGCTGGCTACACAAAATGATCGGAAACTTCAGTTTGGAACCTGCCAAGGATATGTAAAGGGGAATATTAATAGCTACCATAAAGCCGAGGGAAAGGAACAAAAAAAGTGCAAGCAGCTTTTAGGAGTAGCGTATAATCACGTAGAATATTTACACAACTCACATAGAATACAAAGTTCATTTGATTTTAAGGTTTATTCGCCATATTTTATACTTGATAGCAGCAAAATGCTCTTCTTGTCAAGCACATAACTTATGAGAAAACTTCTACCTTTAAATAAAGAAGGAACAGACTTTAATGTGTTGGTTCTAAGGAGCACACTTTATTAATGTGCTGGTTCTTGTAAGCATGACATTGAAGACGTCGTCTAATTATTTTACAGGGAGGTTTACTTGAGCTTCAACAACTATTGTTTCCTTCTCCACAAATTAAATTAAAAATTCACAAATCAGCTCTAAACTCAAGTTTTCGTCAATAACATAAGTGAAAAGCTTTGTTTATATCACTGCGGTGAAGAACGTCACGCCACTACTCAATCTATAGTTATTTATATCATAAAATTAGCAATCAAAGAATACGGGTACTTTTAGTCCCTTATGATCAAAATCACCAAAAGTGCAAATTGAACCAAATCAGGCTCAAAAGCTATTATAGAAAAAAGCTGGCTCTCCTTTTGACCAAAAAAAAGAAAAAAGCTGGCTCTCTTAGGATATCACAGAAAGGGATTGTGTTATAAAGGGAAACGATTCCGATATAAGGAAGTTCATTGGCAAGAGGAACATACTCAAAGTCAGCCAGGCAGCGAACTCACCTTACCAACTCTGTTTCAATGGAACAACAGGATAATCAAGACTCATTTTCCTGTTTTTCTTTATTGAGGTTCACATGTGTGAAATAGATCAGATTCCACAATCTTTTGGTTAATGTGCAAATTAATCTCCAAATCAGGCACATAAGTTAACAAATTAGCTACCTGAGGAGCTTCAACATGATCATAGAGCTCATAAGTTCGGGAATCAACTGTAAAAAAAGAAGTCAGTAGCTGAAGTTCAAAAGCTTGGGAATCGACCAATAAAACACTTTACTAGCTCAAGTTCAAAAGTTCATGAATAAGCCATAAAAACACTTCAGTAGCTCAGATCAAAGTCGACGGAAAGCCAGACATGAACGCTAGAAAGACACTGGGTAACCTCAATCAACCTCCTGAAAGTATCCTATGCATGTTTTAGGCGTGGGCAGATGGTGTGAATCAATTGCACTGGTTAGTTTCTAGTAAAAACTAGGACATCAAACCTATAGTTCAAAATTTTAAATTATATAACAGACACTGATTCACCAATATAGCCCATTCCATACTGATTATTGAGAACGGAAGAAGTTGCGTGCCACATTATAACTTGCCTTAATGCTCAATACAAATTGCTAAAATTTCCATGAAACAACAGGCCTCTTTTGAAAGATAAGTCAAGTCAAGCCTATTTTGAAACACCAGTCCACATCGCATCATCTCTTGATAATGTGCCTCAAAATGGTCAAGGTAAACCATTTGGCAACAAATCATGACTATATCAACTGCAAGTAATACATTAAAACAGTCGCCAATAGAAGGATTTAACCCATACAACAATCTGAAAGCCGCATAGATTTTTTTCCTTCGATACTATTCTATAGTTCTGAACTTCAAGAACCTTAAAATGTTTGCACTTCAAGGAAACTCCAAAAGGCATATTTTCAGTATTCCATCCGAAATGAAGATGAGCCACATAACAACCATATAGGACAATATCCAACACTAGGATCCGTTCAATCCACACATAATAATCCTTCCACTCAAATCGTAACATCTCCAAAGTTCAGATTTCTCAGTGACCCCTGGGATGGCTAGCGGTATTTAACCCCAAAACAAATTAGCCATATTCGGATGTTTATAGTTACCTAACTTGATTTTGTACATTGAATTAGTTTCATATAAGTTTATTTGCTCCAAAGGTTGCAGAAATTCAAAAACTGAATGAACAAGAAATCCAAATCAGTGTTTCAACATAAATCAAAAGCACATAGATTGAAAACTTATTTGATCTATTGCAGAATATATCATATAGAGTGCTGCTCCTTATGTATGGATGGATTAGTCTTGTCCAACAAGTACGGCATTGTACCATCATATACAAAAACTATGAACAAAATCCTCTGACAAATGCCCAGAAGAGTATAATTGGCATTTACTTTCCAGCTCAATGCTAATACAAATAAGCATTGGTCTATTATTCTACACCAAAACCAAGAATTTCTTAGAAAGATACGAAATGTAGCACTAAGCCAAACACAAGATAAGACTAAATGTATCAAACAAATGCACGAAATACAACACAACAACAGCAATTCATAAGTTACGACCAACAAAAAATATCATCAAAACAAATTCAACACTAAGCATACATTGAAAACGAACAAAGGAATCAGAAACAAGATTAACAGTTTGGCTCAGCAATCCAAAATTCCACTTATTCACACAAACCAGATACCAAACACCCTAGTTAATCTTTGTTGGGTGGTCGGGCTGAGCTATATGAGAAATTAAGCCCGGTGAAAATAAACCAACCAACAATACAAACGCATTCCAAAAAAGGCAACTGCATAAGCAAATTACAGTGTGTTTAAACTCGGACAGGATGAAAATTGGCCAAGCTACGAGGTTCTTGCGAAACACTTCACTCAGATGACATCAAAGATGAAGTCATATGCACATAACTATCCTAATAAACATCATAATTAAAGTCCTACTCTTGGTTAACTTCACCAGATAATTAACATTTTATACAGACATCATTTGCTTGTCTAAAATAGTAAGTTCGTAGAAGAAAACAAAGTAGCTTTCCTCTTGATGATACAGTCAAATCCTTCCACGCTATGTAACCCCTCAACTTTCTCTAGGAGAAAATATAAGTCCTTTGATGATTAAACCAAAACTCTTTCATTCTTCAAAACTATACTTCTTATTCTTTACAATTTTTTGAAACGTGACATTTCCGTTGAAGAGCAAGTGGCCATAAACAGTTTTCATCTTGCAAAAATGAGTAAGAGAATCTTATGGAACTAGTCAGTATTAGTCCGAGATGATCCTCTAAGCAATCAAATGTGATAGTGTCTACTCTGATAGCAATCAAAGTCCATAAAGCAAATGTGTCACTGAAAATCTTTCATGGAAAAATTAGCAACATCAAAAAAGCAAGAATTATAGAGCTTAAGATTAAAGCCTGCCCATTAAAACAACAGCATGCACTCAAACAGCCCAGAAAAGCAAGAAACGGTAATTATACAATGATAAAGACCTCAAAAACAATAACCAAAAACGATTCTTTCATTCATAAACCCGCAGGAAAGAGAGAATGTTAGAAAGGTTTTACACATTATTATACCAAAAAAAAAAAAAAGGGGCTAGAATAAACATACTGGTCTCTCCAGTTTCCCCTCTCTTTTAGTTCCTATTTCGAAACAAAGTACCAAAACTGACCACGATTCGCATTGCCGCAGACCCGAAGTTGCTTTCGCCCCGAAGTTTTCCCCGGTTTCTTCCACCGTAGCAGCTGTGTACTGTCCCGTCAAAACAAGCGGCAGAAGCGACTTAACGAAAATTTTCACCCAAATGTTTTAAGAAATTTTTAATTTGTTAGTTTTTTCAGTATATATACTAGATGTTAAACTCGCGCGGGGTTTATTTTTATACATTAAAAAAATTTATTAAAAGAATATAAAAGCGTAAAATGTATTTGGAGTTCATATTAACTATTAATATACTTTACATAACTAAAATTAAATAAAAGTGTAATTGTAAAGATAAATAATGTATATCATTAAGTGTTCAATTGATTGAAGGAGAAGTGGACAGTAAATATGAATAGAGGTAATAATTAACTAACCAATATTTTAACATGGAAAAGTAGTTGAAAACTTAATGAGTAAACAAATCTTTTTAGATTAGATGAGTGCCACCGTTGACATTTTCGGAAAACTATACCTTGAGGTAGTCATAATCACCTCCGAAGATTTAATTCGTCTTGTAGTCTTATCATACAACTTGTATCATATATTTCTTTCATTTCAAAATGTAAGTCGCTTTAGACTTTGCACGTAAATTAAGGAGATAATTATTTAATAATTAATTTGTGTATTAAATATCTATTTTACCAATCATTAGCTGTTTTCAAACTAAAACCAAGATAAGATGAAAATGGTTAGCATAATTTATTGCGGACAAAGTTGGAAATTTAATTTTTAAATTGCTTTGAAATCCTAAAACAACCTACATTTTGAAATTTTTATCCAAAGTTAAAACAACCTACTGATGATCCATGACAGGGGTTAGATGGGAGATTATTTCCGTGTTGATGTGGATTTTTCTCTCAAGATTATTTCTTTGAATTTTGAATTTGATATTAATTAGTATTTATCCTTTCCATTGATATTTGAATGAGAAAAATAAGGAGTATTTGAAGATTTTGTGGATTGAGTTTATTGGAAATTAACTATTATTGAATTATATTGATAAAAATAGATATATACATGATGCGTGGGCATTAGTAATCCAATTTCATTATTATGATTCGAACCTTGGAATGGGTACATGAGGCTATTATGGTTAATATACTTACTTTGTATGGGGCATAGAGATATAAATTTTCAAACTACTTTAATTTAATTTTGAAAAATTACCATGTAGAATACTATATATAGTTTCTCTCTTAGTATGATACCATGTATATGTATATATATTAGATGTATATAGTTAATGAGTTCTAAATTTTCTTTTTTGGAATATATATAATTATATATGTGTGTGTGTGTGTATATATATCTATAGTACTTAATTAAAGCAGCAAACAAAAAGAACATGTGTTAGCACCACAATGAAAATTTTCCCGCCAAAAGCCATTTTCAGTACAAAATCATTTTTGACACATGGC